CCCCAACAATTTTAACCTAAAATCCATAACTTTTATTTTAAACACACCACTCTTTCTTATCTAATCCAACATGAAACTATACTCACACATGAATATCCAACAATATTATTCTCATTGTTCAAACTTTTATCAATCTAGAATCTAGACCAAAGTTTTTATTAACTTATATAAAAAGCCCTAGTAGCTTGATTGTTTTACGGAAAGCATTTGCGTAAAAGTTGTGAAAACAATTCTTTCCTTATCATTTTATACAATTGTAGTCCCACATGTGGAAACTTTGGAGTATTTACTTTCCCATGTGGCTGTTATAATTAATATAAAACTATAATCATTGATCCTTATCATAACTTTGGAGTTTTGGTGTAATGGTTAGATGAACTAAATTTAAGATAGTATCAGAGCAACCCAGGTTCAAATCCCATCGACCACGAATTAAATGCAGATTTTCTAAAAATTGACACTGCTACGTGAGTTCAGGTTTCGACCCATAAAAAGGCGATCGACCTGCGGGGCATGTTAGAATTAATATAAAACTATAATCATTTATCATCACCATAACTTCAGAGTTTTGGTCTAATGGTTAGAGAAACTAAATTTAAGAGTGGCAACTCCCCAACACTCATCATGTGATTCTCCTTTGCACTTCAAAAAGTACCTCTCTCTCTCTCTCTTCTCTCCTCTTATCCTCTCTTAAAGTAAAAGCTTAATTGCACTTAAACACCTCATGGTTTTTCCTATATTGCACTTATATATCGTCACTTATTTTTTGTAGCAATGATGTACTCTAAAGCTTTTAAAACTCACACTTATATACTCCAACTTATTATTTGCAACACTTACATGCTCTAAAGTTTTATAGTTTGCACTTAGATACCCTAAAGTTTTAAAACTTACATGTAGATACCCTAAAAAATTTCCCCTAATTACTACTTGCACTCTTGATTGGAGAGACTAATTCTGAAACAACTTAAGCATTGAGGACCTAATAACAATTTCAATGACTCGAATGACTAATTTCAAAATAATTTAAGATTTGAGGGATTTTATGACAATTTCAATGATTTAAGGGACTAATATCACAATATGAAAGATGTAAGGGACGAATAACAAAAAAAACCCTTTCAATTTTTTTTAGTAACTACTCAAAGCATGCACGTGCGTTCCACACTGGTCCTCCCATAAAAATGGGTAATCTCTTTGCTTTCTTTCTTTTCCCAGTATCAACGCTTGTGGTTTCATACAAAGAGCTTGTCATAGGATTTAGTTTTTTTGCGAATATATTAGCTTAAGTACATTGATGATCATTAAACCTAAACATAAGCAGCAAGGGCAGCTTGTGCACAGAGTTTTTGAGAGGAGCTACATCAAATCCAAAAGTATCCATATTGATAGATCACTATTGTTTAACCTTCAGAATAACATATGACAATATATTCATTACTCAGAATACTACAAGTTAATCAGTATCACTAATGCACTAGAGATAGAAATTAGCCTCATTGCATATCAGGGAATCTAACATCTTATCTTATATGTTATTTCAAAAGAAGTGTCAGCTTGTTATTATTACTGCACCGAATGCAACTTTTTTTGAGGAATTTCCAATTACATTTTCTTGCACAAAAAGCTCTCTACAACAATCACAAATATATAACCGAACATCGTCAAAAGAAGTTGATTAATTAAGAGCAAATTCGTCAAAATCAATTGATTGAACAAGTGAACTTCGCGACCATCATTACATTACTATATATTCATGTTATGGTGTTCCCATTCGCCAAAATGCAACTCATTGCCAAGTAACAGATAGATCTACTTATGTATGCAATGCCCCAATCATGTTAGCGGCCAAAGATCAAGAGGATTCCGACTTAGCCGACTCGTCGAGTCGACATTTTTTAATGTCGACTCGAAGGGCGGTACCGGTCGACCCTCTTGTCAAAAACGACTCGCCGTGAGTCCATTCGACCATTTACTAGACGCCTCGCGAGGACGACTTGAAAAGCGTTACTTCTCAGCGAAGCTAAATGATAACTTCTGCATCAACCCTCTCCCACTAGCACCGTGTCAGCACCACATTTAATGCATGATAGACACATCATGCCTCTAGCCCCGATAGCCTTCATGACTCATTTAGTCACCGTCATGCCATCAATCACTTCTCGTTTAATGCTGAAGTGATCATTCCCACAGTGGCCAGCCGACACATGTACCGTACGTACTGACGTAGCTGTCAGCCTACACTTTCTCATCGCCATCCTATGCTCTATCTAAGTGACTGATCTGCTCATCCGACACCACTATAAATAAGAGGTACTGTTCTATAGAGTGAGGATTTTTTTCTGATTTCTTTTTGGAAGATTCTCTCTTGGATAGACTCTTTTTTAACCTTAAACTGGTTTTGCTATCTGCAAACTATACTGCACACACACAATAACTATCACAGTTTTTTATTTTTCCCCACTCAAGTTTACCAGCTAACTTGATCGCCGGAGGAACCACAAGGGAACCAAGCCCCGTCCTCTCACGAGTTTCTACATGTGCAGGCTTTAACTACTCAACTCAAGAACCAGTCATAAAACCGAGGAAGAAAGCGGCCCCTCATCAATACTCAATAACCCCATCCAACTACGGATACAACTGACTATGTGATCACTTAAACATCAACAATTCTCGTGCTATCCAGTGTTAAGACCACGTTTGGTATACCAAAAAAGCTTTAGAAATTGGGCTTCAAGAAAATTTGACCATCTACACCAGCCTAAGTTAAAATACATTTTGACCATCTACACCAGCCTTGATGATCTCTAATCTCTCAGAAGATAGCGCAGTCTTCTCTGGATGAACAGATCATTTCTCACAAGAACCGTTGATTAAGCTAGATGACGTACCTATATGATGACTCATTTTAATTCTATAGTAAATTGAACTATATATTGTTGACCCATTTTCTATCAATGTATGTAACTTATATGTTATGTTCTCAAATGACGTACCTAATATGATGATTGATTTATAGGTGTACAACCTACATTGTTAATTCATTGCACTAGTATGACAATCGATAATTTTAAAAAAATTAATTTCCATAGCATATATTAGCATGTTGGAAATATCCGTTTAACAGTGCTACGATGATTATCAATCATACTCTGATATATGCAACCATAAGTTCTTAATTTATTGTATAGTCGAGACAATAATATAACCTATAATGTTATCAACAACTATATTTGCCGAGGCATAACATGATAATTTTGACCAATACTTAGCACATACATTGATTTACAATATTATTAAAAAAATTTCCTACACGGTGACAAAGATTTTTAAGTTGAACAAATGAAGGATTATTTAGTCTTTTACCATACATGGTTTTGATGCACAATCATATTTTCACTCAGGTACCGTTTGGCAAAGGGTTAAGTGAGTGGTTAAGGAGACTTAACCTCTTCTTTACTTGCCAAACACAACAAATCTATATAAGGGTTAAAGTGAGTTAACCCTCCATAATTTGCCAAACATAAAAAATATAGAAGGGTTAAGTTAACTCAAAATTTTCATGCTCAGTTGTACATATTTGGTTTTAATTCACTCAAAATTTTCATGCTCAGTTGTACATTACATATTATTCCTTGCATTCATTTTCATGGTACAAATTACAATGTTTGATAACAAGGGAAGCATACCCACAAAAAAAAAGGGCAGAAGGAATGCACATATTTTCCAAAGATCAATTTCATTGCTTGCTTGCTTCAATTCTTTCTTTAGCTGTTTGGCTTTTGATGCTTTCTTCTCTTCTAGATTCATATTTTTAAATTTTGGCGTGGCTCTTTTTATTTCACTATCACCTTGAGCCTAGGCAAAAAAATTTGCATTGCCTATTTGGGTATTTTGCACAATCCAAAAAAATATTTACCACTATTCTTACCATTTTTGCACATTTTAAGAGGTGTTGGGATTTGATAGAAGCAACGAACCTATGATGCTTGAGACCATTCAAATGTATTCATCTTGCTATGATTGTTGATAAAGAGAGGAAAAAATGAAAATTTGGTTTGGCGTTATATTGCATGGTTGTGAGGGAGAACACTCAATTTAAGCCATAAATTCTCTTGTTTGCTAGCTAATATAACCGTTGGGATGATTGTGATCGTTTAGATTTCTGCTGGCTAATGCTTGGCTAAGTGAGGCAAATACTTTTGCTTTGTCGGTGTTATGTTTTGTCTTATATGAGAGGTAAACTTATCATGGTGAGTACAATCTATATTTTCAATATATTTCTTCTCAAACCAAATATAGATTATTATAGAAATATGCTTTTGGTATTATTGTTTTTCAAGTTTTTTGTCCCTAACCAATCATAGGAAATTGAGGATTTTTTAGAGGTATATTTCTACAGCCTTATTTTTTATGCAAAATTAACTAAGAACATCATTTTTTGGGAAATTAAAAAAATAATAAAATATGATTTTTTAAAGAAATTTTTCCTTTTCCATCTTTGTTGATAGCAAACCGAACGGGGCTCAGCATAATCTCTAAGAATAACAGCGATGCGTTGTGATAATCGTCCTGTTATCTTTTTTGCTGACTTCTCTGCATGAAGGAATATTTGGGCCTTATTACTATCAAGATATCAACCCCAGAACACTAGGTAGTATTTGGGCCCAGTAATATTCCGGCCGATAACTCAGCCCAAAACCGTCAACGGTCAACATCAGGACGTCACATCATCCCTCTGTCGACCCCACCACGATAATTACCAGGGCTTCGTAGCAATCTTTGAAATAGCTCATCAGTCCCTAAAATCCCAATGTCCTGCGGCTTGGTCCATAAAAGACTAAAACGCCCCTCATCGTAGTTGTTAGCCATTCTGGAGCCCTGGAGGAGAAAAGCTTAGGGGCATTTTGGTCATCGTTGGACAAATATGCAAGAAACAAAGATTTGAGGTACTAATATGTAAAAGACCCCTCAGAGAATCCCCATGCTGCTCTCTTCACGCCGCTCCCGCTATTTCCCGCGCTCGAGCTCCCTCTTGCTCTCCATTCTCCAATGGGGAAACCAAAGCAACAGGTAATCTCTCGATTCTTCGCCCCTAAACCCTCTCAAAACCCTAACCCTAACCCCAATCCCTCTTCCTCCTCCTCCCCCAAGATCGCCGCCACCGTCTCCTTCTCCCCATCGAAGCGAGCCCTGGCCAAAACCCTAATCCCTCCCGCCAAAAAACCCAAAACCCAAAACCTACCATCATCAAACCCTACCCTCCATCAAAAGTTCGTATCAAAGCTCTTCGAGCCCTCAACTTCACCTCCTCCCTCAACTTCCGCTCTCCAAAACCCTAACCCTAAGTACACCCCGCTGGAGCTTCAGGTCCTCGAGCTCAAGTCCAAGTACCCTGACGTCCTCCTCATGATTGAGGTTGGCTACAAGTATCGATTCTTTGGTCAGGATGCCGAGATTGCGGCTAAAACCCTAGGGATCTTCGCACATGTCGATCATAATTTCTTGACGGCGAGTGTTCCGACGTTTCGGTTGAATTTCCATGTGAGAAGGCTTGTTTCTGCTGGGTTTAAGGTTGGGGTTGTGAAGCAGACTGAGACTGCAGCGATCAAGGCTCATGGAGCGAACAAGGTTGGGCCTTTCACTCGGGGGCTGTCGGCTTTGTACACGAAGGCGACAATTGAGGCTGCGGAGGATATTGGGGGAAATGGGGAGGGTGGAGATGGGGAGAGTGGGAACTATTTGGTGTGTGTTGTGGAGAAAGGGGTTTCAGAGGGGGGTTTTGATGTGAAGGTTGGGGTTGTTGCTGTTGAGGTTTCGACAGGCGAGGTTGTTTTTGGGGAGTTTAATGATGATTTGATGCGGTCGGGGCTTGAGGCGGTGGTCTTGAGCTTAGGGCCGGTGGAGATTTTGTTGGGGGAGCCGCTTTCAATGGTGACAGAGAAGGTATTCAGTTAATACCATGCTTTGTTGCAGACAAATTTCCATCATCCAGTTAAAATTGAGCTCATAGGTCTCATGGTTTTCATTTAACACCGGATTGATTGAAACTATTTGAGCTAAAATTGTTAGAACTTGGAAGTGAACTTGTTCTTGAAAAATTCCTGGCACAGTATGTGTTATAAAGTTTATTGGGATTAACTAATGCTATCAATGACAAGAGTTAAAAGGGCTATTATACCCACATTAATGCATACAAATTAAGAGGTGTAATGGACTAAATCACGAGGAGGCGAAATGTGCCAAAACTAATCATGCTATCAGATAAGACAACATTTATATATGTAATGGAAAGGGGAGAAATTCCAAAATTGAGGGGGCAAGCTGCTGAAAAACATTACATCTATATGGACTTTGTGGGTGTTTAAACAATCGACTGAATTTTGTTTCATTCTTTAAGGGGGGAAGGGGGGAGTTAGAGCTAATTGAAGAATTCATTTGTTTAGTCTAGACTTTAGAGTGTTTTGCTCACATAAGAAACTTGTTATGAACTATTGTAAAAAATGATAACTAGAGAACCTTTTTGCAGGAAGTTGATGAAGCTCCGAAATCTACCGGACTACCACTTCTTAGTTCTAGGATATTCAATGCATTATATTAGATAATGACTTCTTATTTCTCAGTAAAAGCTTCTCAAGTTGAGATGTCAATAGTATCATACATGAGTTGCTGAGAATTTAATCAATAATAAGAAGGCTGTCCTGGAAGAAAATTTAAGCACCTAGTGGTTTGCATTCTCATTAAGTGGAAAGAACGAAGTGTTGAAGAGTGGTTTATGGAGGAGGAAATTTCCCCCCTCTTTACAAATAAATTCTCAGCTGCATGATGTCTTAAGTAGCATGGAAAACTCTCGGCAATAAGGATGCTGGTCATTTTAAAAGTAGGAAGTGGTTTTTTGCTTGAAAAGGAATGATACATACACATTTTTCATGAGTATGAATAAGAGGGCAGTGTAAAAGACGAAGTGCAGTCTAAAAATGAACCTGAACGTGCTAAAAACATAAAACTTGCTTCTACTTTACAGTGAAGGAAGTACTTATTTTAACCAGCTTAACAATTATATAAACAGAAGATTTTATCTTTTATCACATGACTCTTCCGGTTTGTGAACTTTCCTTAGGTAAGACACTAAAGATATTTGACCACAGAAAGAGCGCCACCTCCTCGACAGAAGATATTGGAGGATGCATGACGAACTCAGGCATAGACATATGATGCAAATAATCCAGCAATAGTAGTGCCCATATGAGTTAACTTATGATGCCTTAGCGTATTACCTAGCTGTTTCCATAAAAATAAAAAGAAAATTCGCCATTAGTTATTTTAATATTTTAGTACGAAACATTAACATGTTCAATTATTCTTATTCTGACGTGTAAATGAGTGATACCATATTACCATGCTTGTTTGTGTATTAAAAAATGTCTGTTTTCAGTGTGTTCATGGTTATACACTCGTTTAGCTTCGTGTTTACTTATCAAAAGATTTTGGTATTTTAACTCATAAACTAGCAGGTGGTCAGGGGACATACATCACTCTATACCTTGTTCCCATTCATGAACTCTTTAAAACTGGCTTTCTTAACCACATTTATTACGTTGGGAAGTTTAAATGACATAAATCTATCTATTCCCTATTCTTCTGATCCCCTCCCTCATCTTGTGCTACAGTACAAGAAGAAGTAAACACCCAAGGAAATGGAAGTCCTAGTTTTTACTTTATTCTAAAATTCACTGGAGACAGCTATGAGCCAGTTGTTCACTTGTGCAGAAGCTTACAGTATGTAGGGCACTTTCTTAATTGGACATTGACAGCACAGTCGGTTGTGCATCCATGTCATCTATGTCCTACACTTATATCGTCATTACTCTTTTCATAAATACGTACAAAGACGAAGTATCTCATGCCTCCTTTTGAAAAATCTAATTGTATTGAAGATTATTTTACTATTTTTAAGTTCTTTGATATGTGAATAGCCACCTGACACATATTTACGAACATGCCTATATTTAAAAACACATACAGTGACACATAATATTATGCCCTTGTTTATGGAATTTGGAAGGTTCTGCTATCCAATGTCCCATTTTCATGTACAAAAAAGACATCTCATGTCTTGTCCTGTAATCATTGCGTGAATTATAAAATCAAAATGCACTTTAACAACTAAAACTCAATTCTCTGAAATCTGGAGCTTATAGTATCAAGAAACTCATCTATATTCTTCCAATTTCTGTCACTGTATTTTTTTCATGTATTTAGTGCTTATTCATGTTAGTATTTGTTTTTTTTAAAAGATTTAGTTATATGAAAGTTTGAGCTGATTGTATTTAGCTATTACTGGCGTATGCTGGACCTTCTTCTCATGTTCGAGTTCAACATACCTCACGCGATTGTTTTAATGATGGGGGTGCACTTGCTGAAGTGATGTCCTTGTATGAGAAGATAGATGAAGATACGTTGAATATGGACCATAACACTCCACAAATGGCTGTCGGAAGAAAGGAAAACCATCATCTTGGAGTTGAGGTATTTGATATATAAATCATTCATATCCTCCTTGTGCTAGACTACTTCATGTTTACAAAAAATATATTATGCACAACTATCTTTTATCTGATGATGGATCTAGACTTGTGAACGCAGCTGATTGTTGCTTTTTTCTTTGCAGACTGATTGTTAAGAAAAGAAAATCATTAAAATCATATGTTTATGCTTCTTGTAGGGAATTATGGCCATGCCGGAGTTAGCTTGCCAAGCATTAGCTTTAGCTATCCGTTACCTTAAAGACTTCGGCCTGGAAAGGATAATATGTTTAGGTGCTTCATTTCGACCGTTTTCTAGCAAAGCTGAAATGACATTATCAGCTAATACACTTCGTCAGTTGGAGGTAATGTTTAAGGTTTTTTTGCTAGATATCGCTTCGAAACGTTATTCACTTGTGATTTTATGAAATTTTATTTGATTAATTAATTTAAATTTTCCGTCTGGCAATATATATATATATATATATATATAAGGAAAAATATGTTCCAGGTATCAGGTATCGTCATAGTTGGATGAATACGGGTACGGGACATGGTAAATTTGTAAAAGGTAGGGTACGGGGACGCGTCTATAAATATGTATGTTATGCACATTTATGTGTATTAAAATTAATAATTTACATAAGATCAATATTATTTTTTCATTTATATAAGATCAATATAGAGAAATAGATGTGAAGTGTAGAATATGCACCCAATATTCGTACGAGGACTGTTTTAAATTAAAAACATGTAGTATATAATTGAGTATACCCTTGAACACCATATGCATATATTCAAGAAGTGTCCAAGAAGTTTGGGTACGGGTACGAGTACGTGTCGGGTACGGGTATGGCTTCCAAATAGAAGCACCTAGGTAACATAGATATCATGTTCATACCTGAAGAGGGTTTTCCACTATGGATGGTGGATATTGGATATGTTGGGATATGAGCTCAATATTGATTATGCATATTGGGTTTCTGTATATTATTCATATACATAAAACTTGATAAGTAGAAGATGGTTATTATGTTCTAGATAATAGTATTATAACGTGAGTGCAAAAGCCTGTTGAAAGTAAAGGCCTCAAGAAAGTGAGAAAAGATTCAATTAAAATTTATATTAACTTAATTAATTTATATAACATGACAACTCGTATCTACTATTTACTTGTTATTGGATGACTGGAAAGTACGAACTAAAGAAATGAAATCCCCAAATTAGACTCTACATTTTTTATTCCTCAAAATTTCAGTTAGGGTAAAAACTTAGCGCATTCAAGAAATGATATCTCCAAATTAGACTTTGCATTTGTTTTTCGAATTTTCAGTTAGGATGAAAACTTGACATAGGACTTATAAATCAGAAGGGGAAAAATAGAAAGAATAAGAAAAACATATTTTCCCATTCAACACTACAATCCGGTCCATCACGCCATAAAACTAGTATCCAAGAGCCCCCAAATCAAATGCCAACATATTTTGATATGACTTAATCCACAACATATTTGAATATCCTCTTTTCCCTTTCTTCATTTGTCACAGTCATGGATTAGGTGCTTTGGATAACTGAATGTCTTTCTATATGTGTATCAGGTTTTGAAGAATAACTTCAATGGTTCCACGGAAGGATCATTGCTGCAGGCTATGAATCATACTTGCACTGCATTTGGTTCAAGGATGCTTAAGCACTGGGTAAGCATATAAGATATTGATACAGTGGCTCATGTATGTGTTTATTATTGTGTTATGTGCAAGGTAAATAGAATATATGTTAATACATAAATATGTGCATAATGCACTGAATATGGAAAAAAATACAGGTGGATATAAATAAAACTAGAATAGAAAGACCGAGGATACATGACACGTAACATTAATCATTCTCTCTGCAAGTATACCAAAGTGACCATTATGCATGTTGGCCTGGATGCTTCAATAGTTTATGGAATTTGTCTTGCAGATTACCCATCCCTTGCGGGATAAAAACTCTATATCAGCTCGTCTTGATGCAGTTTCAGAGATTGCAGAATCCATGGGGTCATGCAGCAGTTCACAAAATTTAGTTGTTCTAGAAGAGAATAGCCTATGCAATACATTTGGACAGATAGAAATTAGTAATGTTCTTTCTTCAGTTTTTACTGCATTGGGGAAGTCTCCTGATGTTCAACGTGGAATAACAAGAATATTTCATCAAACAGCCACAGCAGCTGAGGTAATTATTGATTACCTTTTTTCCTTTCTACATACAGAATTTCAAGTCAGACCAAAAACCATAATCTGTTGGAAGGGAGAGAATTTTTTTTAATGTTCTTCTAAACATAATAAATTTATTCCTAAGAATAACTTGATCTCCGTAATTTAGGGAATATTGAATCTTCACACTATTAGTGAGTGAATCAAATCTTTAAGTAGTGCTTTTTATTGTCTGGAATACGTCTGGAATGCGTATATACACATGAAAGCATTTGTTGCCTATATATTATCTTTGAAGTCTATTTCTAGGTAAAGTAGTATTCTTTGATATGTTTATATACTGCAATAGCAAGACCTGGCTCTTTGGAGAAACTGAGCATTGTGCCTGTGCAACTTGAATCAGTTAGTACTCTTTTGGATTCCGAGTGCCAGGTATTTCCACTCAAATATGTCTTAATTCTATTTTAACTGTTTCAGTTCACTAGGGTCATTCATGCTATCCTTCTATGTGGGAAGCTATTGCAGAAGCTTCATGTCGAGGATGATGGTGATAACAAAACAGTAGAACAGAAAACCATGAAGTCTGCTTTACTCAGAAGGCTGATATTGACAGCATCTTCATCTGCTGTACTTGCTCATGCTGCAAAACTATTGTCCTCTATAAATAAGGATGCTGCCAATCAAGGCGATATGCTTAACTTATTTATTGCTTCTAGCGATCAATTCCCAGAGGTAGAAAATTATGGTTTCATCTAATGGATAAACTTGTGTTAAATATGATAACTCTTCGCATTCATAGGTTGCCAAGGGCCGTATAGCTGTACAAGTGGCGAAAGAGAAGCTGGACCTGTTAATTGTTCAATACCGAAAGCAGCTTGGAATGCGGAATTTGGAGTTCATGAGCGTTTCGGGAACAACACACCTCATAGAGGTGCTCCTTTTACTTAACTCTATATTGACCTTAAAATTCCTGAGTTCCAAGTTTTAGTTTTCTTCAGTTGCAGCTGTCGTGTTACTTCTCCAAAACACCTTCAAACATTCAATTTTTTGCCTTTCAGTTCCCCTGAAGGAAATATCCTTCATATTTTGCAGAATGTCATTTTTTTGTATGAATTGCTTTCTTAGTGATGTAGTCACAAATTTCATCCCATCATGCACATTATATTCTTGAGATGTCCTCTACGGTGTAGCCTATGTGATTGATTATGCATCCTGCATCCATCATCTACAAAATGCCTCGTATTATCTGCTACTTGCTTTTTATGTTATTGATTAAGTTTATAATTCTTATCTTATTCTTTATTTTCCTTAAATCTTATTGCTTCTTATTCAAAGTAGTTGCTGGTGTCCACATTCTGGGAATGGAAGCTGATTTGTGGATCTTTGTTTAATTGCATCTTATGAGGCTCCCACCTGTGAGGTTCTAACTGTGTGCTTGTGATCTTAGGTGCCTATAGATGCAAGAGTTCCTTCAAATTGGGTTAAAGTCAGTAGTACCAAGAAGACTAATAGGTATCACACTCCAGAGGTTCTGTCAGGTTTGGATAGATTGACACTCGCGAAGGAGGAGCTTTCTGTTGCTTGCAGAACCACCTGGAGCAACTTCTTGTCAGGATTTGGTAGATACTATGCTCAATTCCAAGCTGCTGTTCAAGCTGTTGCTGCTTTAGACTGTTTGCATTCACTTGCCATTCTCTCAAGAAACCTGGTACAGTATGATGGCTATAGGCTTGTAGCCAATATGATTATTCTAAGATGCATGGACTTCTGATCTAGTCAAAGCCATATGTTATTGATTATATTACTTTGCGTTTACAGAATTATGTGCGACCAGAATTTGTAAATGATGACGAGCCTTGCCAAGTTTTTATTCAATCAGGTCGCCATCCAGTAAGTCAAACTCAGTTTTTGTAGCTAGCTAGACTTACCTAGTTACATGAATTAATGATTGTTTCCATCATGGCCAGAGGTGGTCTATGGTGTCCTTTCTTTCTCTTAGTGCCTCAAGTTAATGGCACAAAAAGCTACATCAGAGGCATACCTACACCCCTGTTAAATTTGGTTTTTGGAACTGTTGTCAATATGAATTTCTTAATTTATTTTCTACTTGGAGGTAGCATGTAATATCGGCTTCTTCTGATCCTTTTTCATGTTTACTGTTCTCTATACCTCTGTCCCGAAGCAAGAAGCAGAGCAAAATAACAATCGAAGGTGAAATCTCAATCATAAATACACACCAAAGCAGAATCAGCCTAAATGTCCCTAGAGACCGCTGGAAAGCAGTGAATCAACATGATAAATAATGAATTCTGAATTTTATTAAAAAGATAATGAACCCAATCCATTATTATCAGGAGCAGTGCATTTGTCTTCTTAATATTGATACAGAAGATGTACTAATTCCTTTATGTGGAGATTGTTAGACAGTGCCATATCACTACAGATTTTTCAGTTTCTAGTTGTTTGTTCACTTTTTTATTTTCTTTCACTGCATTAAAGTATGCATTTAGTCACCATTGACAAGATAATTTCCCTGCAGGTTCTGGACATTGTGTTGGGAGACAATTTTGTTCCAAATGATACCAGCTTGCATGGAGATGGTGAGTATTGTCAGATAGTAACTGGTCCAAATATGGGTGGAAAGAGCTGCTATATTCGCCAAGTGGCCCTCATAGCTATCATGGCACAGGTGTATATATATAATTTTTTGGTGGTTCCTCAATTTTTATCTCTCACGCGGTCACGCCTAAGATCTTGTAGCATCAATTTTTTTAAAGTTTGCAGCCATAACCTATTTTGGGTTCATAAGCTAGATAAATGATGTGAATAACATTTGTTGCCTATGGAATATTGGTTTTTTCAGTTCTTAGCAAAAATGATTTTTGCTGACACTTCTTTTATTTATATGCACATCTCATGTGACTAGGTTGGTTCCTTTGTACCAGCATCTTCAGCAAAGTTGCATGTATTAGATGGAATTCTCACTCGAATGGGAGCATCAGACAGTGTTCAGCAAGGAACAAGTACCTTCTTTGAAGAGCTGAGCGAGACTTCGCACATACTGCAGAATTGCTCATCAAACTCTCTAGTGATCATAGATGAGCTTGGTCGAGGAACAAGCACACATGATGGTGTTGCAATTGCTTATGCAACATTGCGTTACCTTCTTGAACGGAAAAAATGCATGGTCCTTTTTGTCACTCACTACCCCAGAATTCTGGATATTAAGAATGATTTTCATGGATCTGTTGGCGCTTATCATGTTTCCTATCTCACGTCAGAGAGACCTTTGGAAATTACAGAATTGGAATTAGAAGTTCCTGTTAGAAGTCAAGATCAAGCAGAGGTTACATTCCTGTATAAAATTGCACCTGGAGCATCAGACAAAAGCTTTGGTCTAAATGTTGCACGACTTGCGCAGGTCAGTTGCATTTCCATTTTCGTCTCTTGGTTATCTTATAAACCCATTTAAATAAAAAAAAACTTTTTAGTTGTAGTAGTATAATACATGTGCTTTGCACGTGAACATACATGAGTTAAGTTTGATTTTTTTTTATTGAGCAGTAAAACTATGTGTTAATAAATAAAATTGTATAATAAGATTGCTTTAAAAAATATATGAATTAATTATTATTGTGTAGTTACTGTAATTGAATATTTTTCTTATAATGATCGCCCAACGCTAACCTTTTTTAAATAAGTCCCCCAAATCTAAAATTGTTCTTAAATAAAATTGCTAATTTTATAAATTCTCTTAAATATGTCCCTCAACTTGGAAGCTGTTAACTTAACTCTAAATTGACTAAGCTGTATCAATCTTGCTAGCTTTTTCTTGATGTTCCCTAGACAGTTACGCTTAGTACCTACAACATATTGTCATAGTTACTTCTCATTATAATTATTTAATAGAGTAAATTACACTAAACCATTGTGACTTTCAGCCCCTATGAATCTTCAAAATCACACTAAACCCCTAATTTCTTTTCTGTTTCAAAGAAAACCCCCAATAACTTTCTAAATTTTGTCGAAAAATAGCTATCATGGCACAGGTGTATATATATAATTTTTTGGTGGTTCCTCAATTTTTATCTCTCACGCGGTCACGCCTAAGATCTTGTAGCATCAATTTTTTTAAAGTTTGCAGCCATAACCTATTTTGGGTTCATAAGCTAGATAAATGATGTGAATAACATTTGTTGCCTATGGAATATTGGTTTTTTCAGTTCTTAGCAAAAATGATTTTTGCTGACACTTCTTTTATTTATATGCACATCTCATGTGACTAGGTTGGTTCCTTTGTACCAGCATCTTCAGCAAAGTTGCATGTATTAGATGGAATTCTCACTCGAATGGGAGCATCAGACAGTGTTCAGCAAGGAACAAGTACCTTCTTTGAAGAGCTGAGCGAGACTTCGCACATACTGCAGAATTGCTCATCAAACTCTCTAGTGATCATAGATGAGCTTGGTCGAGGAACAAGCACACATGATGGTGTTGCAATTGCTTATGCAACATTGCGTTACCTTCTTGAACGGAAAAAATGCATGGTCCTTTTTGTCACTCACTACCCCAGAATTCTGGATATTAAGAATGATTTTCATGGATCTGTTGGCGCTTATCATGTTTCCTATCTCACGTCAGAGAGACCTTTGGAAATTACAGAATTGGAATTAGAAGTTCCTGTTAGAAGTCAAGATCAAGCAGAGGTTACATTCCTGTATAAAATTGCACCTGGAGCATCAGACAAAAGCTTTGGTCTAAATGTTGCACGACTTGCGCAGGTCAGTTGCATTTCCATTTTCGTCTCTTGGTTATCTTATAAACCCATTTAAATAAAAAAAAACTTTTTAGTTGTAGTAGTATAATACATGTGCTTTGCACGTGAACATACATGAGTTAAGTTTGATTTTTTTTTATTGAGCAGTAAAACTATGTGTTAATAAATAAAATTGTATAATAAGATTGCTTTAAAAAATATATGAATTAATTATTATTGTGTAGTTACTGTAATTGAATATTTTTCTTATAATGATCGCCCAACGCTAACCTTTTTTAAATAAGTCCCCCAAATCTAAAATTGTTCTTAAATAAAATTGCTAATTTTATAAATTCTCTTAAATATGTCCCTCAACTTGGAAGCTGTTAACTTAACTCTAAATTGACTAAGCTGTATCAATCTTGCTAGCTTTTTCTTGATGTTCCCTAGACAGTTACGCTTAGTACCTACAACATATTGTCATAGTTACTTCTCATTATAATTATTTAATAGAGTAAATTACACTAAACCATTGTGACTTTCAGCCCCTATGAATCTTCAAAATCACACTAAACCCCTAATTTCTTTTCTGTTTCAAAGAAAACCCCCAATAACTTTCTAAATTTTGTCGAAAACCCCTTTAAATTAGAATCGAAAAATGACTTAAAAAGGCATGTTGAAAGTTATTGAGGATTTGGTGTAATTTATCTAAAAGATATTGGGGGCTTTCTATAAAAGTTATTAGAAGTTTAGTGTGATTTTGAAGGTTTATAGGATCTAGTTGCTGTAAAATGTTGAAAGTTCATGGGGTTTACTGTAACTCACCTTATTGAATTTTATCTTATGTAATATTATAATTCTTAGTTCAGGTAATACTATTAAATAATTATACTATCTATATACTATAAAATATTTATCTAATTTATTTTTTTAATTATGCTCTTAAATAATTTAGTATTGTAAGTATTTTATAAAATTTTATTTTATTGTCATTAACAATTAATATTAGTATTAGTAATATTAAATAATTCTTTGTAAAAAGGTTAGTTTTCAATTATTACTAACTATAGATTATTCAATATCATGTAATAATCTTTGAGAAAATACTCTAAAAATGGTATTAAATTATTTATTTAATAATATAATACTAAATAAATAGTGTAGTTCATTATTTATGTGATATTGTTAAAATAATTACACTATTTATGAAATTAAATATTTATTCTATTTATTTTAGTGGCCCTTGAATTATAGTATAATTTTTAATAGTATTTAATAATACATTGTTCTATTTATACTATTATTTTAGTTATTTTATTATAATTCATAAATAATTATTATACTAATTTAATTGGTTGCTGCTAATAATTGTTTATGCTTATTTTTGTAAATATTTTAATATATTATTTTTAAATAATTAATAGTCACAATATTATTGATAATTGTAATTATTTAGGAAGGGGAGGATGTGCATAATTAATAAGAGGTTATTTTATTTAATCAAAGATTAATTAAAGATAATGACATAGTTAGAATTTATCAAAAATTGAGGGCAAAAAACGAAATTAAAAGCTTTAACACCCCAATCCTCTTTTTATACTAGTGTAGATAGATGTAGATGTAGATAAATATATATTTTAACATTAAAGCTTCTAGATTTCCCTTTGCTTGTTTTTTTATTCATACACATAATATGAGATTCATGTTGTCACGTCCCGCTTCCCAAAATACCAGGGAATCGGGACGCAAGCAAGCCCGCGATGTATTAGACTGAAGAGAAATAAGTACTAGACTCATTCTGTTCAATCTAATACGTTAAACGTCAAGCAAATATAAAACAAAGACACAGGTCGCCGATCACAGTAACGAGAATATAATAAACAACTCAGAATAGAAAATATACATATCACAAGTGTAATATCATCTCAGACACAATATTCGGATCAACATGCCCTTGTACAAAACCGTCCAATTGAATACTGGGAAATATAAAAATAGTACATCGTCCAACAGAAATAAAAGTACTGGAAAGTAAACTAGGATCATCAACTAACTAAAGAGGTAACTAAGTTCTGACTTGTTCTTCTGCTTCGTCTGCAATGCCTTCTTACGGAGAATCCTTTGGCTCCTGTACGACTCCGAACTGAAACTGTTTGTCTTCTAAATCTGACGTACAACCCGAGAGAACAGGAGTACGTCAACGTGCATGTCACACGGCAAGATCCCAAAAAGAAGAATAGAAACGGTCGAACGACCAATGCAATAATAGTAATAACAATGGAACATGCAACTGAAATACTAATAATCTAAATATAATTTACTACTAGAATAGAATAAACAGAATAATCCAAAACCAATCGAGTAACGAGGTCATGCAGCTAACGATCAATAATCATCCAAGTACAGGATCATACACTAGTTGGAATTAATACTTAAAAATCTACAACTCGAGACGTAGTACGTCGAGCGAAATAATCCAAACAAGGAAACCCTCATGTATGTATCATATGTCTCAAATTATAGATAATTAAATATTAATCATGATCTATGTATGAAAAGAGATATAACTGGTCCGTATCTCACAACTCATAATCATCCAAATAATGATGTCATGTAACTAGCCATTCTATAACAGGTCACTGGTACATATCTCACATAGAGTTAACGTTCCTATCATCGGATAACTGACTGTTCACAAATCCCCTACGTGCATCTAATCCTGCTACACATGCGGCCTAGAGGACTACACCCAATCCGTTTTTTGCCTGACCCGAACTTCAAACAGAACTCGGGTGACGAAATAAATTCCCACTGATCAAAGTGATGTACACACTTCACCTTGGCCCTACAAACCAACCCTAACGGCGACACCGACCACTGGTGCGAGCTTGTAAGATACATCAACAGCTTTATCCGATCACATGAACCATGGCTTTCCCATCCCAACTCTTCTCGTTTTGCTAGGTCAACACAACACGTCTCTAGGTCACGCAAGGCTACTACAGTCATGATCACTAACAGTTCTCAATCACAATAAGGAATAACAATTACAACTGATCATGTATGATAATATCAGGGCATATTACATGATTAAGAACTAGAAATCATAAATTTTTTCTAAAATAATCTTTTGAAATAATAAATTTATTTACTTCAAAATAATTCCTTTTTTCAAAATAAATTCTTTATTTATTGTTATAATTATCAAAAATAATTTCATTTTCCAAAATAAACTCCTTTTAAAATTATTCTAAAATATTCATTAAATATTCTTTTTAATATTCACTCTTCCAAAATGAATTATTTCTCATTATAATTAATAATTCCTTTTTCAAATAAATTCCTTTAAATTATTTACCTTTATTCTAAAATGATTCTTTTTCCAAAATATTTCCTTTTAAATTATTATAATTTTCCTAAAATGATTTTATTCTCAAATAAATTCTTTTTAATTAATATAATTATCCAAAAATGATTCATCTGTCGAAATAAATTCTTTTAATTCATTATAATTATTCTGAAAATGCTATTTATCATAGTACTATGATATATTTAATATTATTCATCAACAATCCCACCCAGATAATTATATCATAGTCTAAAATATACAGATAATTTGTAACGTGTATAAAATTCAGATCTGAGCAAGAGGGATCTTGCCTTGATCTTGCTTTGGGTATATCGTGGACCGTAGTGGGGGCTGTCGGGGTGGTTGCACGGCGTTATGACGGGTTTCGCGGAATCGATGGCTAAATTACAAATTAGAGTGTTAATGCGACGTGCGATATTTAAATGAATATAACGAGGTGTAGATAGGGAGCCTAAGTGAAAGGAATATACCGTGTGATAGATAACACGAAGGGCTACGTACCGGCGAAGGAATTGACGGAAACGGAGGTCGGAGATGGCCGGAAAATACATACGAAGTCGGCACTGCGCTGCTGAAAACTGTTCGTTGTTTTGGCGACGCGCGCAGCAGGTCGTGGTGGCGTTGTGGCGTGGCAACAAGAGGGGGTTTTTGGCTGGGCGTCGGGTTGGACTGACGTAAAGGGAGGAGCTCGGCGGCGGCTTGTTGGCTGACGACGGGACGGAGGAGGCAGCGACTGTGTTTTCGGCGGTCGCAAGGAGGGAGAGAGAGAGGGGGTTGAAGTGGGCGAGGTAGAGGAGGGAAGGAGAGGTGCTCGGCACTGGGGCTCGGTCGACAGCGATGTCAAGGCGGGGGACATCGCAGACCGGCTAGGAGGCGGAGCGCGCGGGGGTAGGAGGCGCGAAATTTAGGAGAAGGAGAGGCGGCGAGTGGCTAGTCCGTGGGCAGCGGGTCAGGAGGGTGGCGGGGCGACTCTGTCGAGTCGGCGGGAGCACTGGCCGGAGGCGGGCTTACGGATGTTGAGAGGCGGAGAGTGAGCTCAGGGGAGATGCGGGTGGATTGAAGGCCCGGGCGACTCGGCTGGGTTCGCGTCGGAGTTGGGCGGTGAGTGAAAGAGGAGGATCGGTGTCCGAGGTATAGCGGCATCGGTGGGGAAGCCAAGCTTGGGGATGGGGAGTCAGGTTTTTGTAGAGGAGGAAGAGAGAGAGAACTGATGAGGGTGAGAGAATGAGAATGAGAGAGAGAGAGAAGAGAGAGAGAGAGAGATGATGAGGGAGAGAGAATGAGAATAAGAGAAAGAGAGAGAGATAACTGATGGGGGAGAGAGAGAATGAGAATGAGAGAGAGAAGACGTGTGAGTGATGGTGAGAGAGGGAAACTTTTAAGGAGTGGGGGAAACACGAGGTGAAGAAAGAGATGCGCAAACATGGGGAGGAAATTAAGGAGTGGGATAGGGGAGAGAGAGAAGGAGAGAGAAAGATATTGATTGGAGAGAGTGATTGATATGAGGGGACAAGGAGAAAAGCTAGATAACAGATTGACTATCGTGCTGATCAGCTGATAGCTATAAATAGAGATAGAGGATAAGGGTTGAGGCTAAAAATAATACAGATAATTAATAACAATAACAATAATAATAATAATAATAATAGTAAATAACCAACATTAATTTAAAAGTCTTTACTGTAATAATTGAATTTATAATTAGCAAAATCATTAAAATAAATATAAAACCGTATTTTTTTAAATCGTAGAAAATTCTAGAGAAATTGGTGAAAATACAAATACTCTTTTAGAAAAATAATATTCAATGATTAAATACCAGAAAATTATTTAAACTCGTATTAGAAATTTACGGTCATTACACATGTAGCTGACCCTAAAATTTTGGGATAAAGGTTTTGTTGTATATATCAAAATAGGTAGCACATATCTTTCTTTTCCTAGTTATTTTTTTTATCTTCTTGTATTTGAAGCTTAAAAGTCGGTGTAATATTATAATCCACCCTCATGAAATGTGATAGTTTTTCACCCAAACACAAAATGCTTCTAAAGGTTTTCCATATTTTTTTAACATGATGGAGGTGAGTTCCAAACTATCTGAAAACAAGGTCGGTAAAGTGATGAGAAGGTAGCAAGTGTAAGTTCCTCTTGACTGAACCTCACCCTTACCATTTGATCTGGGTCCTCCTTTTCTTTGTTAAAATTTAACTTCATACATACCCTGTTGAACAAAGAATAACAGTTGATTTGTGCATCTTTTTTCATTTCTATGGTTACTAAAAATTATTGCATTCCCTTTTGCAGCTGCCATCTTCTTGCATCGCAAGAGCAGCTGCCATGGCAGCAAAACTAGAAGCAGATGTGAATACTATCTTCTTGCATCGCAAGAGCAGCTGCCATGGCAGCAAAACTAGAAGCAGATGTGAATACTCGAGCAGGTGTGCGGAAATTGATGCTGGATGCACCAAAAAAGTCTAAAGAATTGGGAAATTGCTCTAGCCAACCTAGCTCTTCACTTGTAGAAAATGAACAATTTGAAGAATTCACTCTATCATTCCACAAAGTCCTTTCCTGTATAAAAAACGCTTTAAGTGATTCTGATCCATCAAACTTCATAAGCTCAATGAGGGATGCGAGGGAGCTTGCATTGACAATGCTAAAGAGGCCTCTCTGAAGCTGAAGCCAGCCATAAGTTCAAATGCCATCTTCTTGAAATTTAGCAAGCTGGAAGTGTAATTCTACCGACATTAATATTTAATTTTCCATCTTTCTCGAGTAAGAATTGGTCTTGGTTTATCATTTTTTCTTTCTTTTCGCTGACTCTTGCTCGAGTTGTGCAGTTTATTAACCAGGTTGAGAGAATGGGAGCTGCTGTTTGTTCTCGATTTTGTAACTTGACCTCCTTACAGCTGAAGGGTAATATTATAGGATCCTGAATGAGATGTGTAATGTAATCTATTAATTACTTGAGGTGTTTTTTGTTAGTTTCATATGAGACCACGGTATGAGCTGGCCTCTTAGTTACTGCAATGATGTGGGAGGTGGCTAAAGCTTTAGTTTTTACCCCCAATCGATACTTAGGTCCATTTATTTGTTACTTTGATATTATGACAACTGCATGGAGATTGGTTACCCAACTAAATTATGGTTATATGGAGTAACTTCCTGCCTTTGAAAAGTTTGACTATCAATTTCAGGGTTTGGTATTGTTCACGTGCGTTCGTGTTATTTGTGTTGGTGCATGTCGTTGTCGAAGATAAATATTGTTAACAATAAACGTGATATGCACATTTAACGGTTACTAATTTTGGGATACTCAAATTATTGTTGCCTTATTTGTGATTTATTTTGCCATCTTATGGTCTCTCGGTTTGGTTGAGTGGTTTTATAGAAAACTTTATAGAAAATGACTGATAGTGAAATTTTGTAAATAAAATTTTCTGGAGATTTTTATAAACTGTGTTCGAGCATATATTGATGGAAATACCATGTAAACTCAAGAATATATTGAGGTAATAGTTTGCTAATGAGCGTCAGTTGTCTTTTTTGTCAAATACCTAAAGCACCTTTTCACATATTTATTTGCAAACAAGTTGCACATATTTATTTGCAAACAATTATCGAACTTCTTTCACTTTTTTTAATGAGAGATATGCGAGTCTAAGAGTACTTTTATTCGTTATGGGTGGCTGATTACAATTAGTAGTGCCTTCACACAATTAGGAAAAGAGTTTGTATGATCATGTCATCGTGTTTGCAGATCTAAAAAGTTGTAAATACAAGGTAAAACTGAGATTGAAGGATAAAAGAGAGGAATCTTTAAGCTAGAGAGGCATTTCAACCAATGAATTATTTAGGCCATTGTGAGAAAAACAATAAAACAATCACGAAAAAAGAGAAAACAAATCATAATTGTTTTCTTTTTTCATTTTTTAATTGCATATTTGTTAACTTCTTTGTAAGGCTTGTTTGGTTCATTTCTGTAAATAATATGAAACCTCATTTTCGTGTGGAAATGTCATTTCTTTTTTTAAAAGAAAAATAGGGCATTTCCCTATCAGTATATATAGACGAAACCAAAAATCAGATTACAAAAGAAGATATTTTCTTATGAATGAGGCGTCGTCTCCGAGATGGAGAGAAAAGCCCATTCATTGGAAGATGTCTTAAGATAAAAAGCCAAAAAACAACCAACTAAAGCCCAAAAACAAGAAAATGCAAAAAAACTAACCAAACTGTTATGCATATACAAAAACAAAAATACTGTCAGCAGGTTAGGGCATAGTGTTGCTGTCAGCACTTGATTCGAGAATGTCTTGGAGACCAGACGAACGGATGAGCTTCTTCATCTTGAGCGACTTCTTGGAAATGGAGGCCCCTGACCAGAAGAGAAGGAAGTTAATAGTCTTCTTGATGATGATCAGAGGGGAAGTCGAAATATTTGAGAAGACTAGGTCATTACGAGCTTTCCACAAGACCCAACTAATGGTGGGGAAGCAGATGCCCCATAGAAGACGAATGGAGGCTTGGAAAGAGGGGTTAGAACAGATTGCTAAACAATCTTCAATGTTAGGTGGAAGGGAGCCAATACCCAGTTTTAGGAGAAAAGGAACCCAGACTTGTTGTGCCAGGTTACATGATAGGAAGAGATGATCGTGAGTTTCTTGTTCAGGGCAAAACGAACAGCGAGAATCGACTAACCACCCTTGAGAGGCAAGTCTGTCTTTGGACGTCAATCTGAGAGAACTAAGGAGCCAGAAAAAGATTTGAACTTTACTAGGCAGGAATTTGTTCCAAATGGTAGAATAGAGGCTGAATCGCATTCCACCATCAGCTAAAAAATGATGAAAAGATTTAACAGTGTAAAGCTTGGATGCTGTTAAAGACCAGGTGGGATTGTCTGCCATCACGGACGGCACAAGGTTGGGAGCTGACAAGTACTGAGATAGGGCTAGCACTTGACCCTTGGCCTCATTGTTACTAGGACGCCTGATAATAGGTTTCCATACCCATCTGGAGCCCTGCTAGCTCCCTTGGGAGGAGATGGATACATGATTGGAGAAGGCTAGGTCGGAGGGAATGTAAGTGTTTCTCAATCTTGAGTTCGTAGGGAACTAAAGAGGATTCCTAAAATCAAGCATGGAATGTAAGTGTTTCTCAATCTTGAGTTTGGAGGGAACTAAAAAGATAGGAAATCACTGCTTTAAGAGAAGGACAAATTTTAGTTTTAGACCTCTTAAAAAATATATTTGTAAAATTCGACCTATTTCGAAAATATTCGTCAATTTCGACCTAGTTTCAGCCAGTTGGTTGAATCTAGGTCGAAATTGGCGAAAAATGTTCAAAAAATTCACGTGATTTGAAATTCTGTAAAATTTAAGCCATTTGTTAACCACGTAATTAAACGGGCGAAATCTTCATGGTCTCGTGAAGTTTGTAGAGCTTCAGCTAGTACATGAGATTGGGGTCCAAGCATAGGATCAACTCCGAGTACCTCATATCACAAACCTACCCAAAAAAACATGAAATACGATTTAAAAAAAAAATCGAGAAGGAGGGAGAGGGGTGGAGAGGGGAGCTAGGGCGGAAGTAGGAGTAATACGGGAAAAGAAATGGGGAAATGAAAATCGGCAGCAGAAGCATCAGAATTAGAATTAGCGTTGAAGGAGGAAGATGAGTATGCAGCATCGTCATTATCGCAGGTGATGTCTCGCTTGCGAAGGCCGGGGCCGAGGAGAGCGAGGGAGACGATGAAGCCGAGGAGGAGGTATGAGAACTCCTTCCTGTTCATCGATGAACCCTCAGTCCTCCTTCACCCGCCCACCACCCACTGCACGCCTCTTCTCCTCCTGGATCTAC